ATATATGGATGGCCGCTCCTAACCAGTCCCCGACCAGTCTCCCCTCTTCAATTGCCTACCCTTTGGAAGTTAATTTAAAACACAAGGCTGGCACTGAATGTGTATTCTTAGTGTTGAGAAGAGAATAAACTCTAATAAAGGGAACAGCTCAGTTAACACTGTGATTTACTTGCCAAAAATACTTTGTCTTATATTTTTATATTGATTTTTGCCTATAATTCAATCAATGTAAGTTTTATTTATATTTACAGGTTTTTTAAATTAAACCATTTTTGTGTTATGTTATTCATATTATAATGTAAATTACTTTAGTTGGATTGCTTTCCTCCTAATGTCTCTTTGAAATCAGTGAATGGATCCTTAGGAGGACAAGGAGAGGCCTGAGAGAAAAGGTGACAAGTGCCTAGGATCAGGCATGCACAGTAAATAAAGAAAAACTCTTTTCCTTTCCCTTATTACACTGTCCTCTGTTCCCAGAACACTAACTCAATCTATTAATTATGGATAAAATGGATTAGTATGGATGTCTGGTCTACATTTGAAAAGTTCTGAGCAACTTTGGGCTATATTATTTAAGTCTACAGAGATAAATAAGAAAATAGAAAATTATAAGTGCTGTAATAAGGGTAAGATATTTTTGTGATAATTTTCTGGGAACACTATCACTATTTAAAAAAGAACATTATCTCTACAGAGATATAAGCTTGAGTTCCAAATAAATCCTGTACCAAAGAACTGTAAAGCATTCTCTGTTAAATGTCATGGACTACCCTTTTAAAAAATATCCTCTGGGGACATTTAAAAATATTAAATATGACTATTTATAAAATAAACATTACATATTTAAATAAACATGAAATTCTCCATATTACTATTCAGATATATTTACATTGTTTGACTGTCAATTTTGCCAATTATGTTAACTAATCATTATATAATTCACAGAAGAGTAGTTGGAATGTGTTGAATTGTAATTTGTTCTGTTAAATTAGTAGATAGACAACATTTTTCTGAACCAATGAAGAGAAGAGAATATTGGTTTTATAGAAAAACCAATTTTATAGAAAAAAGCTGATTTATAAATTTCTGCTAAGGGTAGAATGGATCAATCACATTTAAGCTGGGAAAAAGGGAATGCAAGAGGCATGAAAAAGTATATTAGCTGCATAGTTAAATCCTGCTTTAAGAGAAAATCCTCCGAGAAATCATCCACCAATTTAATAGGAATCATGTCTACACGCCTTTTGCTGTTCTTTTTAAATATAGAATCTATACTTTCAAATTTCTTAATATACTTAAAATATTCTTAGAAAGCCAGTAATTTAATAGTCATTGCTCTACAGATGCTTTCAAAGTAAGTTACTAAGTGATTTTTTTTAATTAGTAAGAATTGTTTGCAACTATCAGTGCAGAAGGCTCGAGAAATTCAGGAAAGCAATGCCATTTAAAATGTGGAATGTTTAGTTAAAAAGCAAACACATAGATTGCATCAAAGCTTTTTAATAGCTTCTCTGGAATTTTAGGAATATAGCTGAGAAGTATTAGCATATGCTCCATATGTCTGAGTTTTGGATTTAATCTCACTTACTTTAAATTTGAAAAGCAGATTAGCCACAAATAATAGTTTTCATGACTTTGTGGCTATATGAAATTGGATAGATTACTTAACCTTTTTACACTTATTTCTCTCATCTCCGTTATGATTTTTAGGAATTAGATCTACTGTATTAAAGCACATAGTTCAAAAGCAAGCTTTTAATTGGCACTTGTTATAAAAATAAGAAAGAAAAGAATAGAAATACATTAACTATTCCTAATTAAAAAGAAAGGGATGTGGAAGATGACTGGTTAGCCAGAGACAGGTAAGATTCCTCAAGGGAGGAACAACCTAAGACAGGCACAGTCGCAGGGGGGCCATCAGGTGAGAAATCGGGGAACAACAGTGGTGAAACTTAGAACCTCACCCCACCCCTGTTTTGAGAGAAAGCTTCTGCATCCGTGGATGTTTTATTTCCCTTGTCTAGCTCGGATTAGCACATAGTCTACAGGCACACACC